CCTCCATCCCACATCCCACATCCGAAAAATCACAACAACTAACAATAAGACTTCAATATACTTACTATTCACTTCTCTATACTTTCTCCTTCCCGAGAATAGGTACAAAATTCCATTACATGCTCATACTTCATTACTCACAAGCTAGGTACTTTACTCTACTGCACGGTATCGCACATGTACATCTGCAATTCTAACTCTAGCTCCAGTTCCAACTCCAATTCCAAGTTCCAACACTTTCTCGAGTTTCCCATGTGCTTGCTTGCTTGCTTGCTCTCCTATCTCTTCGAAATTCGAAATTCGCATATGTCATTGGGATATCATACAATATCTCCTCGTGTGAGTATCATCACTGACTACATACATAGTACATAGCATGTACTTATCCAGATTACCTAGATTACAGTACATAATAATTGAAACCCACTATTATCTTCAGTCCACTTATCTCTCTTTCGTTTTCGCTTCTCTTAGAAAAGCACTCATGGGTTATCGATCACCATCTTCATCCTCGCTTCATCCAGCACCATGTAGGAGGTACCCAATGTATGGAGACAAATAACAAGATTCAGTGCATAATCTCGTAGAAACTCCCCACAGAAACTCCTCTGGAAACCCTTCTACCTGACACCTAGTACCTTAACCTCTACCCAATACTTTTACTTCAACACAAGCCCAACCCCAAACTTCCACTCATCCCCCTTTATATCCCTTCTCAAACCCTAACATCCAACCAAACTAGTACCAATAGATTCAAAACTCACCTCACCTCACCTCACCTCATTGTATGAACTTGAACTTGAACTTGAGTTTAAATTCAAACTTGCTCTGTGTATAGGTAAGATACACACCTACTTTGTGAAATGTGCCCGGGTATTTTACACGAAATTGAAATCTTGTAATTTGAATTTCGGGTTTGGTTTCGATTTGGATTTTGATACGTCTGTGTCAGTGTTTATGTTTATATTCATGATGGTGTTCGTATGAAACCACCTACCACCTACCTACCTATCTATCTATTGGTTTAGACGTTCTAAAGAGAATAGAAAGTCAAGATCTCTATACTTTCTCCCTCTCTCCCTCTCTCCAATTCACTCCACATTCACCCCCCAAACAACCCCCAATCCAATCTCAACAACAACATCTCAATATCATCCAAAATCACAATCGCATTCTCATACACACACATACTTTTACTACTTGCATCCAAAAATACCAACACAACCAAACTCACGTTGCCCATGTCATTATTTCCTCTCCACTCACCACCCCCAAGATTCAAACATCACTAAAAAAAAAAGAAGAAAAAAAAGATAGAACCTCAAGAATCCCATAACCTTCTACAAAATATGCAAGAGAACCAGGGACTTACGTGTTACTCCATCTCTCCTCCTGCTCACAGAATCTCTATCTCGATATCGAAAGCGATTATCGTATTCTGCTCTACTCTATCTTCTACTTCCACCTACTTCCAATCCTATACCGACAACAATCTCTCCTTCCCCTACCCCCCCTCAACTCACCAATCCATACATCTGCACATCCCTCCCTCCCCCCGCCACTAACATACATACCATCACAAGAATCTTTACTAGATCATGTATACCACATATACCAAACAAGCCAAATCGATTCGAATAACTAGATCTAATCTCCACGTTTGATACACATATATACATCACATGAAGATGAATCTCACATGCCCTACGAATATCCAGGCCGGAATATCAAGGTTCTTGTACACAGGTACCATATGTTTGTGTAGTTATTTCTTTTTGGAAGGTATGGCATGGTATAGATGGTGTGGAATGGTATGAGATGGGATGAGATGAGATGAAATGAGATGTAAAGTATAAAAGCTTGGCTAGATATTTCACATGCGGTAGGAAGTGGGAGATATATTGTAGTGAGTGTGGTGTAGTGTTGTTATGTTGTATTATATTGCACTGCACCACCAGATGATTACAGTCAGGCTAGGGTTTGTAGTGAGCATGATATGTGTATAATATAGACATATATATCTGATAAATAGTATAAGTGACCACGAAGAGTAAATGCAGCAACGAAGTTTTACAGATTGGAGAAGAAAGGAAACCGAGTGTGAAGATAAGAATGAGGTCAGAGTTCCCATTCATATCGTCCGGACTAAGGAACGAGATGAATAGCTACAATCTCCTAACATCCTATTGGATTCCAAAATAAAACATCATATAAGTTTCATTATCAACCCATAATTCAGACTCCAGAAACTCTGTATGGACTAAAATGAGATGTATGCTCCACCGGGGAACAACGATGCATCTTGACGTGCTTCAATGCTGCAGCAATATTTGCAGGATCGGGGTTGTGGTTGGAAGAGGCAAGGAATATGTGCATTTACGAATAGGGTATCCATTTATGTGGATATGAAGTTGACGATGGAATGAGTGCCTAAATTGAAGTCATAATCTAGAACCTGGAACCCGTAAAAGGTGAAGAAGAGACTTGGTATTATCTGGTTTGAAGTAACCTTGACATGCAATCCGACGTGTTTGGGTCTTCAAATGCTTAGCCAGAGATATTCTTGTAGAGACATTGGCTGGATAATAACGGATAATTAGAAGGTTACTTAGCGGGAACCCGACTACTCATATTGTTGGTACCGAAGAAAATAATGATGCAGATATATCTCCGCTCGACATAAGTGTGGTCGTGCAGCCAAGGTGTCAACATCTTAGATCGCAGATGATTCCAGACTATTATCTTGGTTCATCAGAAGAACTTTTCTGGGCAAGATAAGGAGTATGCTATGCAATTCAAAAACAAACTTTTAACACGTGAAAATTTCAATCATCATTATTCACGGGTAGCCCGCCTAACAATATCTTTCGATGTACCGTATGCTATGTTATAATGCACTGTGGTGGATCTGACGCAAGACTTTCTCAAAATGGAATCTTCAGATCAAAATTATCACATGATCTGGAACTCATGTGAGTGTGACAGCGGCAATAAGAGGGTGAGCTTTGCGAGGAATTGGATACACCAAGCCGATACCCCTCATTAAAAGCAGGCACTAATCTGCAAGAGTCGCGTCATTTTAATTAATATGATACAAAGGTTATAAGAAACATAGAGTAGAAAGACATCAGGTGTGGTGGTGTCAATGTTGATATTCTTTCCTATCCGGCCCGACTGGGTTGCCGACGGAGATCTTGTTGTACCCGGTAGATCAGCCGGAACATCTTGCCCGTAAATCATCTACTGTAGTTCATCAGAGGTTTCAGACCTTATTATTTCGGTTCAGGTATATGCTTGTACTTGTTAGGATGACTTGTCCTTGAGATCGATCATTTTTTTCAAACCTGACATATCGTTACACTGAAAAATGCGGGATGTCAGATTGTAAAGGATCAATCTATGTGGGAATCTCTTTCCCACACACCAAAGTTCCGATTAGTAAATGATATGCAGTCAGAACCGTACTATGAAGAAGAAGGTATGCTTTCTTTTGGCAAAGTGTCATAGCATAGCCTTGCTAAAGAAGAAAGTAGGATTTTTGGCTTCTCGTCTCCAGAGTTCAAAGTTGTTGCGGTTCATCCAAATGTTTGTCAAAACATGCCAAGTACAACTTCATGTTTAGGTTTTGGAAGAATCGAGCCGCCATAAGCTAGACGTTATAATTCGTGGGGTCACTGTGAATAAGAGGCTTTATATCTGAACATTGACTGGTTGACTTGACTTCAAAGTCGTTCTAGAATAGGATGAGCTGCATCTAGAGGCACCGCTAGGATGATACCGACATGCCGAGACCCTTTGAAAACATCATGAAGGCAAGATGGATGATGAATGGTCTCCCAACAATTGGCAAAAACCTTTTAGCAAATTGATGATTAGTTATTCCTGGATTGTTGCTTTTTATATTGGGTACGAGCAAGCTCAATCAGTGTTATCCGGAGATCCGATTATGAGACCCCCCCGTTTTTCTTACATATTTTCCCTTGCATGGGCCGTGGGATGCTTTTTTTTTTTGATTTCCTGGAAAGAGCTTGAAACCTGTGGTGCCCCATGTTCTTCCATGTTCTCCCATGTAAAGTCTGATATCTCATAGGAAGACTCGGGCTGAGAGGATATTGGTGACACTGACAGAACAGCAAGTATTCCATGTCCATGCGTGGGGAGAAAAGTAAAAAGTCCATTCTAAGGTTAGTCCCTCTCCCCTACATATATCAGACGTAGCTAAGCTGAGGTGGAATTATCGGCGGTAGATGCGATAAACATAATGAATTGCCTTTTTGGAGAACTAGACCTCGATGGATGTGATAGATGTGATAGATGTGATAGATGTCGTAGGATTGATGCCGGAAAAGCGGATAGAAGGAGTTTATAAGGTTGTTATCTAACTGTATTGGTATCGAACCTAGGTGTGAATATCATATCAAAGATCGGTCTGAAGGTAAGGTGCAAAGTGTAAGATGTAGTGTGCATATGTGATGTATGGCTTGATATTTTTGTCTTGGATGGACATCCACTTACATACAGCAAACCCTTGTCGGAGGGAAGACGTGGTTCTTGATACGTTCCAAGTTCCATTAATATATGTTGGACTATCACCAAAACTACCTAGGTGTTTGTATGTAGAAGGAATGGGGAAGGGGGGAGGGGGAGGGGTTAGGAGTCTGGGAGTCTGGGAGTCTATGAGATTGGGACAGATACCAAAGACGGAAAACCAAAACCAAAAAAGAGTCTGCCTGCCGTGTCCACCTAGTAAGAAATGTCTAGAAGATACATTACGAGATGGCTTCAATTGCTTACAAGGCTGTTGTGAACTGTGTGAATTGTGTGTACTGTGTGTGAGCTTTTCTTTCTTTGAGCCCCACCATTCGCTCGAGCATTACCCACCACCGGAAACCTTTGAAAACTTCCCCCGCAGCAACCGTTGATCCAAAAATTTACATAAAGCCATTCACCCCCTTTCACCTTTCGAAACTTCTGGTTTCTTTCTACGATCTTCTTTCCACATGTCATATATATTCTCACGTCTGAGACTATCAACTACAAGAATTCCAACTCAAGCCAAATTTCAATACAGAAACTTTTCTCGCACAAACGTCATCATGGGTGTCACAAAGCATATCTTGAAGGAGGGTACTGGTCCAACTCCTAAGAATGGAGATACCGTCACCATTCAATACACTGGATGGTTGAAGGACTCCTCCAAGGGAGACACTCTCGAGGCTCAAAAGGGCAACCAGTAGGTTCCTCTTGAACGCTCAATTCGTGTTCTCTTTTGCCAGACAATACTCTTTCTCGTGTGCATACTAACAAACCGACTCACAGATTCGATTCTTCTGTCAACCGTGGTGCTTTCGTTGTTCAAATCGGTGTTGGTCAAGTCATCAAGGGTATTTTACCCCGCCACCCAATAAAAGTGATGTGGAATGCTGATTGACTCGATATTAGGCTGGGATGAGGGTGTTACTCAGATGAAGGTCGGTGAGAAGGCTACTTTGGACATTACCCCGTAAGTTCTACCCACCAATGACGTTGTTAAGTGGCCTTGCTAATATATCTTCATAGTGATTATGCCTATGGTGCCCGGTAAGATTTTCAACCCCCTCTCTCCGATTATTGCTCTTTCCAGAGGTCGACCGAACAACTTCTTGTCCGCGGAGAAAGACGGGCACACATGATGGATGAACGGCATTGCTGATCTTTATTTCTACAGTGGTTTCCCCCCTGTCATTCCAGCCAACTCAACTCTCCTCTTGTAAGTCTCAAATCAATTTAACACACCAGACCTACAAAGTACTCCACTAACAATATTTGCAGTGACGTTGAGCTCCAAAAGATCGGCTAAACACGCGATATTCAAAAGTTTCCGACCATAGACCGCCATTAAGGCGAGAAAGCTCAGGCTCACGAAGAACGAACGAACGAGTGAATGAATACATATTGGGTGGTGGCATACGTGAGCCGCCCATTATGTTGAGAATGAATACCACGTTGTTTCTATGAAATCACCATGCACTTGGACTTTGTGATGGTCATCAAATCTGTGAAAATTACATCTGGAGTGAACAGACAAAATACATGAATGGTGAACTGAATAAATCTGCAACGCACCCTTAGAACCGGGGTTCGCACACCATCCCTCATGTATAGCTCGCATAGATTGGTTCAAAATGATGAGGGGCTGTGTATCTGCCTACCTAACTAGTTAGTATGAGGAGTATATGGTGCTGTCAGTTTACTCGTTAGGCATCATGTATGTCGGGGAGGGCCAATTTCAACGTTGATAGAGAATACAGAACTCTTTCAACCAGCCTTATGACTCGAAAATGGTATGGTTAACACAAGTCCGACTCATCTGTTGCAATAAATGCCCTTGAGATGACATAATTTCCATCACCTACCATTGTTTTACCTCTAAATCTTTAAAAACAGTACAGCATCTTGAAAAGTGCGTTATTTGTAACCATATAATAGCAATCCCATATACAGCGAGTGTTCTTAGAATATTGATCCTCGAAGACATCCTCATGTGTTAACATAATTATTCCCATATCACTGTTTCCTATCAAATCATGTCCTACTTCGTAGATTCCTACTAATTCCTACTAGGTACGAGGTATGCCAGGTCCAGTGTAGTTATGTCATTTTCACTCTAGATGTTTCCATTTGTCAGGTCAGTGCTAGAGCCTCCGTGGCTAGGGAGGTGGTGGATTGTGCGAGGCGAAAGGCATTTGATACTGTAAGCAACCCGCTGCTTCCAATTCCAATTCCAATGGTTATCAATAAACATTGATCAAAATCATTTGACATTTCATCAATCCATTCTTTTCTTGAATCAAAAGAAACAACAAACAAACAATAAACTACAGTGAATTCCAATCATCGAACATCCAACTTCCTTTCGAGAACGTTATTAGCTCAGTTTCCTCTACCTAGGTAATACTGCACCTCGCAAGGCGATAACCCCACAATATCCAACTACTCACGATCCGAGCCTTAAGTTGGTACAATCTAGTGAGCCAGAAGAATATCACCCTTTTTCTGGAATCCTTCATCAAACGCCAACATTCCGTCAACAGTAGATTTAAACGGTGCTGGCAACCTGGGAAAACGTAAACTCTCCAACGCGGATTCTCAGAGGCCAGATAAAAAGATGATGACGGCAAGTGAAAGCTACCCCTCCAAATCAACAGCTATCCTAAAAGCTCGAGCTTCAAGCTCTCTCAAAACATCTTCCTCTAGTATTGCACAAACTAACATAGTTACTTTCTCACTAGGCCATACACACAAAAGATAAAGACATGGAGACCAAGATGCAGGTAGATGAGTCGGTGGTTGGCAATAATGAGATCGATGAATCCCTCTACAGCAGACAACTTTATGTTCTAGGACATGAGGCCATGAAGCGTATGGGTGCTTCGAATGTGTTGATTGTAGGACTCAAGGGACTCGGTGTCGAGATTGCAAAGAACATTGCTTTGGCAGGTGTCAAAAGTCTTACCCTCTACGATCCTGCGCCCGCCGCCATCTCCGACCTTTCATCTCAATTCTTTCTACATCCTGAAGATGTTGGGAAGCCAAGAGCGGAAGTGACCGCACCACGCGTTGCTGAACTAAACGCATATACCCCGGTTTCCGTCCACAAGTCTTCAAGGTTAGTAATTCGTTCTGGCGCGAGGCTAGGATTTTGCTAACTTTAGTTCCCGCAGCTTAACAGAAGACCTCACTCAATTCGATCGATACCAAGTCGTTGTCCTGACCAATACTCCGCTCAAAGACCAAATCATCATTGGCGATTATTTACATAACAAGGGAATTTACCTGGTAGTTGCGGATACATTTGGTCTCTTTGGATCAATCTTTTGCGACTTCGGTGATAAGTTCACTGTTCTTGACCCCACAGGCGAAGCTCCAGTTAGCGGCATTGTTGCTGGAATCGATGAGGAAGGCTTAGTATCTGCCTTGGATGAAACACGACATGGTCTTGAGGATGGGGATTACGTTACTTTCACCGAGTTGGAAGGGCTAGAAGCTTTGAACGGTGCAGAACCTCGAAAAGTAACAGTAAAGGGGCCATACACATTCTCTATCGGAGATGTTACTGGACTTGGTCAATACAAGAAGGGTGGAATGTACCAACAGGTCAAAATGCCAAAATTCATTGACTTTAAGCCCTTGTCAGTTGCTTTGAAGGACCCAGAACATCTTATTTCCGACTATGCAAAATTCGATCGTCCTCAGCAGCTCCATGTCGGTTTCCAGGCTCTTCATGGTTTCCAAGAATCTCAAGGTCGTCTCCCAAAACCGATGAATAAGGAAGACTCCATAGTCATTATCGAGTCTGCTAAGACCTTCATCAAAAATCAAAAGCTGGACATTGAAGTGGATGAGAAGTTGATCGCCGAGTTAAGTTACCAAGCTCAAGGTGATTTGAACCCAATGGCAGCTTTCTTTGGTGGCCTTGCAGCTCAAGAGGTGTTGAAGGCTGTTTCTGGAAAATTCCACCCAATCAATCAATGGATGTACTTCGACTCTTTGGAATCCCTTCCTACCAGTTTCAAACGGACCGAGGAAACGTGCAAACCCCTCAACTCTCGATACGATGGTCAAATTGCTGTATTTGGTCAAGAATACCAAGAAAAGCTTTCCAACATCACCCAATTTTTGGTTGGCGCCGGTGCTATTGGTTGCGAAATGTTAAAGAATTGGGCCATGATTGGTTTAGCCACAGGCCCCAAGGGCAAGATCTTTGTCACTGATATGGATTCGATCGAAAAGAGCAATCTCAATCGTCAATTCCTCTTCCGACCTAAAGATGTTGGCAAGTTGAAGAGCGACTGTGCTGCTGAGGCAGTTCAAGCAATGAACCCTGATCTTAAGGGTCATATTGTTACCATGCGTGATCGAGTTGGTCAAGATACCGAACATATCTTCAACGAGCAATTCTGGTATCAACTTGATGGTGTTACTAACGCTCTCGATAATGTTGATGCGCGAACTTACGTTGATCGTCGTTGTGTCTTTTTCCGAAAACCTTTGTTGGAGAGTGGAACTCTTGGTACTAAGTGTAACACACAAGTTGTTCTCCCTCACTTGACCGAGTCATATTCCAGTTCTCAAGATCCTCCCGAGCAATCTTTCCCCATGTGTACACTCCGAAGTTTCCCCAACAAGATTGAACATACTATTGCCTGGTCTCGAGAATTATTCGAATCATACTTTGTCAAGCCAGCAGAAACAGTCAATTTATACCTCACTCAACCAGATTACCTTGATAAAACCTTGAAACAGGGTGGCCAAGAAAAAGCAACCCTAGAAACGATTCTAGATTTCTTAGTTGAGGATAAGCCATTGTCTGTCGAGGACTGTATCAAATGGGCTCGTCTACAATTCGAGAAGCAATACAATAATAACATTCAACAATTACTGTACAACTTCCCTAAGGATTCGACTACATCAAGCGGTACACCATTTTGGTCTGGACCAAAACGTGCCCCAGATCCATTGAAGTTTGACCCTAAGAACCAATACCATTGGGATTTCGTTGTCGCTGGTGCTAGTCTTCACGCCTTCAACTATGGAATCAACACCACCGGTCTCAACTCAAGCACAATTCAAAAAGTTCTTGATAACATGATCATCCCCGATTTCTCTCCCAGCTCTTCCGTCAAGATTCAAGCTGATGACAGTGAACCTGTAAGTTTCGTTTTTCTCATTACACTATGAAGTATGTCTGACAACCTTAGGATCCAAATGCTGGAAACAGCTCATCTTTCGATGACAGCACGGAGCTTCAAAATCTCATGGATAAGCTTCCATCGCCTAAATCATTGGCTGGTTTGAAACTCTCACCAGTAGAGTTTGAAAAAGATGATGATACAAACCACCACATCGACTTTATCACCGCTGCCAGTAACTTGCGTGCCGAGAATTACAAGATTGAGCTTGCCGATAGACACAAGACAAAGTTTATTGCTGGCAAGATTATTCCTGCTATTGCAACCACTACCGCTCTTGCCACAGGATTGGTTATCATGGAATTTTACAAGATTGTCGATGGTAAAGATGACATTGAGCAATATAAGAATGGCTTCGTCAACTTAGCCCTACCTTTCTTTGGATTCAGCGAACCTATCGCTAGTCCAAAGGCTACATACAAAGGTCATACAGGAGAAGTCTCTATTGACAAACTCTGGGATCGATTTGAGGTTGAGGATATTACTCTTCAAGAACTCATCAACGACTTCTCAAAGAACAAGGGTCTCGATATTACTATGTTGAGTTCAGGCGTCAGTCTCTTGTATGCCAGCTTTTTCCCCAAGGCAAAGTTGGCGGATCGATTGAATTTGAAGCTCAGCGAACTTGTTGAGCTCATTTCCAAGAAGCCTATCCCAAGTCATCAAAAGACGGTGATCTTCGAAATTTGTGTTGAAGATCAAGATGAAGAAGATGTAGAAGTTCCTTACATTATGATGAAGTTGGGCAATTAACGATACAAAGAAGATGAAAGGGCATACATTTTATGGGACTACAATTAGAATAGCACGCGAATTATGAATTTAGCAAATTATAAATATCTTACAAACAAACCATAATGTATTGAACAATGCCAAACCATATCTGGATACCTACGTAGGGGATTATGATTGTTACTATGGAATCTTGAGTTTCCCTGACAAATCCACATTGAGGGGGCGAAAAGCTGCATTTCTTTGGATCAATTCTTGCTTGGTCAGTAGTTACACAATGGTCAGTAATTACCAAAAACCTCAAAATCTACGAAATTCGCTCTTTTCGCTCTTTTCGCTCTTTGAAAGAGGCCTGTGTTGTGTAAACTTAGTAAGT